GTGTGATGCTTTCGCCGTTGCGTTGAAATTCTCCGTGTCGCCGTTAGTGAATGCTCGCTGTAGCAACAATGAGATGTGCCTTAATTAGCTCAGATTATGCATAGGGAATTTTAATAATTAATCATGAATATGATTAATATATTGCATATTACAGTTAAATCATCGAAATTGAAAATAGAACGATTGTATATATGAATGATCAATCATAACGAATTATAATTCCTCATTCATATATCAATGATCTCATTACAGATCGATTATATGGGATAACTTTAAGGGAATCAATTGGCTACCAAACAATCGGTTTGTCCAGCAAACGGCTGTAAGATTAACCCATCAATTAATTCAACAACGTTATCCCTTTTTATAAACTCCAAGAAATCTCAATGTTCCGGCCGTGAACATTAATTTTCTCGTGTTTATAAAATTTACGTTACTGATATAGTAACAACTTGTAAAGCTTTTGTAGCTAGGATCGCATTTCATTGACTTGTAAAAATATGAGCATTCAAAACAATCAAGAATATAATGGTTTTAATAAAATGAAACTACGGATACAGAATTCTACATTTACACACGGGATACATGTATGTACAGTAAACAGTAAAACTAATGAGACAGACGAACAACAAACAGGAGTGAGAGAGAGAGAGAGAGAGAGAGAGAGAGAGAGAGAGAGAGAGAGAGAGAGAGAGAGAGAGAGAGAGAGAGAGAGAGAGAGAGAGAGAGAGAGAGAGAGAGAGAGAGAGAGAGAGAGAGAGAGAGAGAGAGAGAGAGAGAGAGAGAGAGAGAAGATGAGAGATCTTCTTGGCACAATTCATCACAGACACAGAACCTTTTGAATTAGAACAAGACTCAACAGATCTTAAATAAGCATAGTAAAACGGATACTTGCACAGGTAAAGCTCTTTTGGTGGGGCTGATCTGAAAAAGGCGTGTGGGTGTATCTCTGTCATGTGGATGCCGAGCGTTCGAGTTCGTCCAGCGAGCGCGGCGTGTTTGAATGTCCTTGTAGGTGAAGCTTGCCAGTCTGGCTGTGTTCATTTTCTTCGCGAGAAGACATGAACAGAGGAGACTTCGAAAAAGATAAAATAAACTTGAAGAAAACAAAAGAGAAACGATGGATCATCACACTAAGGCGATGTCCAGACGCACGAGGAGTCACATGATGAAGCCACAAAGAGCAGGAAGAGCCAGGGAGTTTTGGCAGAGAGTTTTCAGGAAGCTTTCAGAAGCGTTTTTTTTAGCAGGCGGACAAGGGAAGCTCGGCGCGTCTCTTTAAGGACACTTAGGTTCACGCCCCTTCTGGCATGAAGGCACCAATCAGCTGGGAGAAAAGTGCCGCGGAAGATTCCTCTTTGTCTTGTCAGGATCATTTATGATGGTATAACATTTTGTCATTCCTACCCAGAAAGATTGTACAAACCGGACAATAGATTTTACAGTAATATCCTATGTATGACTGGTTCAGTCAAGACAAGGCGGTCAAACAGCCACCAGACATGGCAGGTAAAAGTAGAAGAACATAGGGTTACATTCATATGCAGAATTACAAGCATTTTAAAGTTGGTTAACACACAATAAAATTGTCAGTACTTCCAGTATGGCATGTGACGACATCTAAGCACAAAATGAATACATTTAAAACATTTAGAGGTACTTTCCTCTGAAAAGTTCCATGGCTGGTGTTTGTGTGTGTGGAATGCGTAATTGTCTGTCAGCACTCAGGCAGCATTGTGAATTGACTTACTCATTGCACAATTGCTCTATTGTGAGGTGGTCAGACCAAGGAGACCCTAAGGGGTCGCGTGGTCTTCGGCCGGACTCGAGATGGACTCGTGATCTCATCTCGAGTCACATGTCCAGGGCTGACTCAACTCGTAAGCAAAGCATTCCGTTGTTCATTCATTAGCGAAGGATGCTGCATGTGCGAGTCATAGTCAATGATTTAATCAATTCAAAACACTACCCCCTTTGTTTCACGAATGGAAGTTAAGGGGAACTTAACTAAATTAGAATCTAGTTAATTCACTCCCCATACCAGAGCTGGCTCGATTACCTATCTGATTATCACTACATTGCTCTTGAGATCGAGCACGCACACGAGCATGAGCTCTCTTGTTGCAATCTGAAACATCACCGCTAGAGGCCGCTAAAAAATACATAGAGCACCTTTAAGTAAAACACTTTTAAAATATTTTTTTTTATTAGAAAAGCGCAGTTTGGAGGAATATTTCTCTTGACATCAAGATGACAAAAATGTCTTAAAACGTTTTTAGGACAAATAATCAATGGGCAAATATTGTGATTATTTTTAATTAATCAAGAGAAGCAAAATGTGTTATTGCGATGAAATTAAGATTAATCGTGCCCTAACAATAGCAATGGAACAAAACAATCTTATAGTATATGTCAGATGATCTGTCCATTAAGTCTTAGTGTAAATGCAAAATAATAGACCTATTACTTTTTATGTAATGTTTTACTTTGTTGTTCATTTTATTACTGTCTTATCAAATCAATCACTCTGTGACTTTTTACATGGGTAGGGTAGGGTACTTTGTCCTGTGTGTGTGGATGACCGTGCTCGTCTGCCACCACCAAAGATCATTTTTGAACAAGAAAAAAGTTTATGGCAGAGGCGTGCAGGTCATATAAGGTGCGAATGCTCTTCATTCCCAAACCATTTGAGAGAATGAGTTTGTGGACTCACTAATTAATATTAACACTATAAAAATGACTATAAAATCTCTTGTCATTTGAGGTGTAACATATATTTATTTATTTGCCCAACGACTGTAATTTCTTACAAAAAAAAATCTGGTTTTGGGTAAGCGGATCCACAACAGCTGTGGCACGTATACGCTCTGTTGTTATGCATCGGCATCATTGTTCTGCATTATTATTGGTATGGGGGATTTCATGCGCAAGGAAAGCTGTTCGTGAATTGTTCGCCCAAGTGGGAAAATGTGCTGTTGCTACCAGATCTCAATTACCATAAATCATAGTGTATTTGACACAAAAAAACTAATTATACTAAATCAGATGAAAAAAGATTGTCACAACTTAAACTATTTTAATAATATTTCATGTTCTCCATAGAGAAAACAAATGAAAACGTGGAAACTGTTAAAGATCGATTTTACTGTAAGGAGACTTACTGGTTCTAAAACACGGCTGGAATGTGTCTAAGGTATTAAAATTATTTAAATACGAGTAGAGCTTTTTTTTATAAGGGATGAAGGATCACATGTTTAAAATTGCTTGGAACACCTCTGTTCACCTCTCTCTCATCAAGGAGCTGTTAATTTTAGCTGACACACTGGAACTCACTGTAGTAAAAACATCTTAAAAAAAATGTGTAGAGAGAATGTCCAGTTTGCAGCCACAACACTTCATTTTGGCAACAACTGTGTTGGTGTGGCTGTTTCAAAATGAGTCAGGAAATTAGGCTGTGAATGACTTTGGTGGTAGATGAAACACATTCAATAGCACATCTGATCTGCTCAACTTTGAGGAAAAAAATATAAAAACTCCCAGATCTCATAGGTCTCTTTTGGGCGATTTTCATTATCGTTGCATTATTTGCATTATCATTGTAATATCCTTTATTAATTACAACGATATACCAGTCTAGAGAGAAAATCAGAACATTGTTGGATGAAGTCCTTATTAAATCTGGGAGGTCTATACACAAGTGCACGGAAAACAGAACCCAGAGTATCAGTCTTTAATAGCTGCACCTCAAAGCTTGAATAAATTCTTAGTCCATGCTGACGAACCAAAGTCAAAAGTCCATAAACTTAAAACCCTACAGGACATGCACAATGGACAGGGAATCAAACAATTATCCACCTGCTGTTGCCTTCTCTTCTCTTCTTTAGTATCTTACTTTTTGGGCATTAGTTATTGATTAGCAGTGTATATTTATATATAGTTGTGGTATTTACGCTTGCATATCTATGTTTAATTTTTTTTAAATTCATTTTATTATAACCATGTCTTCTTTGTGTTGAGGATCACTGGCTCTACTAGTTAACCGAATTCTCACAAAACCTTTAGATAAATCAGCTGACAAACTCCCTCCAATTTAAATGAATTCTAATTTATTGAAAAGTCCTTTGGGAGTGTTTTTTTATGCCCTGAGGTGAAAGGAATGGTTCATCTGATACACTCATAATAAAAGTGTTTCAGACATGTGGTCTTATATTTTAAATATTTGATCATTTAAATATTTGTTTAATTACATCTTTTTTTTACCATGAAGTACTATGAATGAAGGGCAATATCAATGATACCAATACTTATACTAATGCTTCTATTAAATTGATTATTTCTTTTTCTTTTTTTTTTGATAAAATGGCCAAATAAAGCCACAATAGCAGTATTATTGAAAGCCAGGCCTGAAATGCAAAATATCAAATTGTTTTTTATCATTTATTAATAATTACAGAACATTAAAATGTTACAACAACTTTTAATTTAAGTAAACTTAATTATAATAAATGTGAAATTAAGCTGTGCCTTTTATTGTGTTATTTCTTTGTCAGTATTCTGTCAGATCTACCTTTTTGAATGGGAGCTGTTAGTTCACTTTTCCCTGTTGTATTCAAAAGTCAAATCACCTTTATTTATATAGCACTTTATACATACAGATTGTTTCAAAGCAGCTTTACAGTGATAACAGGAAAATTATTTAATGATAAAAAACAGTTCATTTCGGCAGCTCTTAAAGACAACGGTGTCATTGTTCAGCTTTGATTCAGTTTCATTGTAAAGATCATCAATTATTAAATTAGTTAATTTAATCTAAAAAGCAGTTCTACAAAAAACAGTGATGTCATCATCCAGGTCAGTTCAGTTCTCATCCAATAGTGTCAGTGCAGTAAAATCAATACTATTGTTGAAAATTAAGTGTCACCAAGCCAGAGGTGACAGTTTTCATAAGTAATAAAAAATTACTATAGTTAAAAACTTACACCTGCTTGTCTTAATCACAGAGACAAGAATGCTACTGATAAGTCTGAAATAAGTGTGCCAAAGAGGAGGATGAGGCTTTGAGCACGGCTGGATACATGCAGACCATCCTGGTTGACCTCTGTTGCTTCACAGAGCTGGTGAGAAGCACACAGATAGTGTGATATACTGTAATGTTAAATCAAAGGATGTGAGAAAAATACATTTGAATAGCTTAAAATTAGTGCTGGGCAACGATTAATCGCATCCAAAAAAAAAAGTTTGTGTTTACATAATATATGTGTGTGTACTGTGTATAATTATTTTGTATATAAATACACACACATGCATGTATATATTTAAGAAAAATTTGTTATTTATATATAAATATTTATATAAAATATATAAATATATATTATATACAGTATATACTTGCAAATATTACATGCATGTGTGTGTATTATATATACAAAATAATTATACACAGTACACACATATATTATGTAAACACAAACTTTTATTTTGGATAAAAGCACTACTTAAAATACTTTAGCATGTTTCAGGAATTGAAAAGATGGATGCTGTGTTAATTAGGTTAATTATTTTTAATGCATTCAACGCCAAATAGTAATCATAAATAGTAACTCATTATTTTCTCAACCCAAATATGTTTTTATTGTAGGACTTTTTTTTTTTTTTGCCTGTCCATGTGCCAATAATGCGTCGTCATTGGTTGCTGGTTGGTGCTTGTGGCTGGGTGCTACTCATCCTTATGTTCGTCAGCAAGTTCATCAACTTCAGCTTCAGAATACCAGGTGGTATGTGTTTATCACATTATGTCAGCATTTCCGTGTAGAGAAATTGGTTTAAAGTGTCTACATATGTTGCATTTGTCATTTAAAAAGTCCCACAACATGCATTTTATATTCACTGCTCATAAGGCACTCTGACAGTTTCCCCTCAATATATTTTCAGACTTTGAGGGGAGGACAGACATGTTTGTTTGGACCATGCCATCTGTTACGACGAAACTCCCTTCTGTCCAGTGGCCAGACAAGGGAGCATCACAGCCATATATATTGGTGAGTCAGTTTGTCTGTGTACAACTTATTTGCTTTATTCAAAAACTACTTGAATTGTTAAGAGTTATATATTCTCTGTTTTTGGGTGTCATGTATATGTGCATGTGTGTTGTGACTATCAGTCCTCAGTTAGTCCCTCTGTGGTGGAGCCCATAGACTGGCAGTCAGTGAATGAGAAGCGTTTGGAGCTGTTAACAACTGTTTGCAGAAATTCATCTCTTTGGAACCTCACCCACACAACTGTGCGCAAGTTTGTCTTGGACCGCATTTTTGTGTGTGACAAGCACAAGATTCTCTTCTGTCAGACACCCAAAGTTGGAAACACACAGTGGAAAAAGGTTCTAATTGTCCTCAATGGTGAGAAATGTCTTTAGGTTAAGTAACTTGTACATTTGATAAATCAAAAATGAACCATAATAAACCAAATTAGACCTGTAAAATTACCCTAATTCAGCATCCTATTTTAGGCATATTGGAAAAACTGTATATCTTTCTTGAACTTCAACATTTTTTGTGTTTCAGGAAAGTTCTCGAAGGTTGAAGCTATTCCAGAGAACATGGTTCATGACCATGAAAGAAATGGCTTACCTCGCCTGTCCTCTATGACTGACACAGAAATCCATCAAAGGTTTACATAAGTTCACCTTACAAAAAATGATTGTTTCTTGGGATTTTTTTTTTACTAAACGGGGATCAACAATCAACATTATTATTGATTGATTGATTAGCTGGCCAGTCAGGTTAGTAGTTTAGATTCCAACATTTTCACTGGGCTTGGCAAAAAAGAATCATCAGTTTTAATTTTTAGTAATTTTTTTCTAGAAATATTTTTATGCTACATTTTCTTCACTCGGACATGCGCTTCAATCTATCGCCGTTGTGGAGACTCTCTATTCGTTCCGGTGAAATCACAAAACAAAATGCACACAAACGTGTCCCTGCTTGATATACAACCACTGATTAACATATTCGGTTTTGATAAGAAAAAAAACTATATGAGTACGGATTAGAACCCAGATCCTCTAACACGCTTGGCAAAAGTTCTGCCACTAGCCAATGGAAGATCTTATTAAATGGCAAATTAAACCCAATGTACTATTGAAATTGATTTCTGGACATCGTAATGTTATTTTTTTTCCGAAGATTGTTTCTGTATACACATATACAGTATACAGCAACCTCCTCCCTCCCACACACTTGTCCCACCCACTTTTTAAAACAAAATTACACCAGTGGTTGGAGATGTGTGTTCGGTTGCTCGAGTTTTATTCCGTTTTTTTATTCCCAACTGTACATTGACTAGGAATGAAATGGATAGAATTTATTCACACTTCTACTATTGAATCCAATGTATCATCAACGCTCAAATTCGCTTCCATGGTGCTGTCGAGTACGATTGCAGTCTGTGAGGTAAACTAAACGCTATTGGCTATTTATTTGAAAAGGGGGAGGAGCCATTCAATATGTCCTGCCTTAGCTTCCTGTTTCAGTGGAAATGACGTCAACGCATCATACAAAGCTGCGCGTTCCAAGGCACTTCAGTGGACCTTTAAAATCATAGCAACTAGTGGATAATCACAAAAAACTTTAATGGTTTCGGTAACGAAGCATATTATGGTTGTTAAACAGAAAAAGTATAACTACTTAAAATGACAAACATCTGTAAACCTCACCTCTGTAACCTTGTTGAACTCAGCAGGTAAAATATGGAAGGAGGAGCTTTATGATCAAGGTTGACTTTTATGTTGCATGAATTTTAGAAATGTTTTATAAATATCTGACAATGTTGATAAGAAGGGGCATTGCTCTGAAACATTACATACAATTTTTTAATTAAAGGCACACCGCGGAACTTTTGGCCACTAGTGGCGCTCGACCTGTAACTTTCACGTCTAGCGTCCCTAGAGGCCACAAGCTCCGCAGCACTGTCGCAAAAGTCAACAAACAGTCAACCGGTCAGACCATAGACAGTGGGTCAGCCTCCCGTGTCTTTAGATTGTGTGTGCTTGCAGTGTTTGAGGCGGGCAGCCTTGCCGCGCTCGATTCCCTTATAGCAGTCTGCTGAGAGAGAGAGAGCGGGGCGAGCCCCGTGGGGCTTAGTGCTAACATGTCTGAGTAAATGTGGGCGCGGGACGGGCACATTTACTGCACTAAAAACACCGTCGGCCTGAGCTGACTGTAACTTATGTGTGTTGGTTTCGTTTTACAGAAACCGTGGGACATGTTGTGTGTAGTGTTTGTGGGCACTGAGTCGTGGGCACGTTCACTACATTTAATGTACATTTGACATGAGTCGACTTTATTTGTGCGAGCCCTGCACTGTGGCGGGCTGTGCTTGAGTGTAGAAATGAACAATGGGCTGTGGGCATTTTATTACACACATAACACCATCGGCTGTGGCCGGAATACCAGAAAATACTACACTACTTATATGATTTATCTGGGTCACCTTGGAAACGGCATTTGTGTGCAGGCAAGCGTCAGCATCGGTGGGGGCACCCCTCCTCCTCCTGTAGCTCACGCCAGCGAGCGAACGCTGGACCAATGGTGATCCTCGTCCTGGCTTTTCATTTGTCACTATGCCTTTTTCTTTATTTTTTTAGTGTCCTCTGACAAAACCTTTGCCTTCTTCCTTGTAGCTGTTGGTTCGGCCATGACGAAAACATACAGACGGCAATCAAACGCGAGTTGAGCACTCACGTCAGAATCTGAGGAAGTTGTGGGTGGTGGGGGAAGTGACGTATGCCGTAAAGCGGTTGAATTTTGTAGTTCTTTTTGTGCTCGGGTTCCTACCCGAAACCCGAAGTTACATAGTGCTAGGAAAAGCGATACAGACACCTTCAGGCTACGGCAGACGTGTCATTCAACCTATTGTAAGTCGATGTACCATCTCAATGGGTTTTGGTAATATATTATAAAGGTTGAAAAGTTCCACAGTGTGCCTTTAATGAAATGAAACTCGTCCATCCCTCAGGACATAATTGTAATATTTGTATATTAATATATTCTGTTTTCATCATTTTAATACATAGTTTATTATTATATAAAAAAATAGAGTAATGGTATGAGTACATTCTCTCTGATTAATTTTAGATTTATAATTTAAGAATTGTACAGATTGCTGTTTTCCCAACTAATGGCAAGTAATATTGTGCCATGTTTTGTTACATGTCTGATAAGATACTGTTTTCCTGAAATTGTGTTATTTTTTGGTTTACAGATTGAATACCTATTTCAAGTTTTTTATTGTCAGAGACCCATTTGAGCGCCTCATATCTGCGTTCAAGGACAAGTTTGTGAAGAACCCAAGATTTGAACCCTGGTACAAACATGAGATTGCCCCAGCCATCATTCGCAAATATCGCAAAAGTCACCATGATGATGGTGAAAGTGTGGGTCTTCAGTTTGAAGACTTTGTTCGGTACTTAGGTGACAAGCCAGGAAGACAGCACTTGGACAGGCAGTTTGGTGACCACATTATTCACTGGCTGACATATGCTGAGCTGTGTGCTCCTTGTGATATTTCCTACAATGTCGTGGGACACCATGAGACTCTGGAGTTTGATGCTCCTTATATTTTAAAAGCTGCTGGTATTGCTGACCTGGTGTCATACCCCAATATCCCACCAGGGATAACTCGCTACAATCACACCAAGGTGGAACGCTATTTTACTGGAATCAGCCAACGAGATGTTCGTCGCCTCTATGCTCACTACCAGGGAGATTTCAGCCTGTTTGATTACCAGAGACCTGCCTTCTTATTGGACTGATGTAGAGATGTCCTGATATTTTTAGCCTATTTTTTATGGATCTCTTGGACCTTTTAGCTTACTGATAAAAATGTGGTTGCCTCAAAAATAGAACTCAATTGCCTGCCCTACATTATGGAGTACATATTGTTCTTTTGCACTTATCTGAGACATAATTGATTACTTTACACATACAAATATATATGTATTTGCATGATGTTTGGATTTGGCTTGGTCAGGGATCTGCACTAGAGGGTAACTTCAACCTTAAATTACTAGGATCCAACAGTGCAACAGTAAAGTTTATCGTTCTGTTTTGTCTTTAGTTTATGCTTTTACTACTTTTCACTGGTTTTAGAGTCTAAACTTGATGGTAATTTCTGTATTTGCCATAAATTAAGTGCCATAATATTAATCAGAAGTTTTATGGATTTCATTAACTGATTTTCAGACAAAGTATGTACTATTCTATTATATTATAAAATAGTATTTAAAAAAAGTTAAGTTAAAATGTTGACAATATTTTTGGACACATTGTGTTTTTCTTTTTTAATACCAGTTTACCTTTGGACTCATTTACCAAAATAAAGTGTTATGGAATTTTTCTATTATTACTCTGATTTCAGTGATTCCTAATGATGGCCTCATCTGTTCTCACGAATGTAGTGAGAGGGGGCCTTTGGGTGATAATTTACTGTGGTTGGGAGTCAGTGGAGGTAAGGAAAAGCAGGTGGTCAAGGGGTCATCTTGAGTGCATTTGTACGTTATAGCCTAAAGGGTTAAGGGGGCATTTACCTCTCAGGGCCAGGGAGAAATAGAAAAAACAAAGTATATCTCTCCTGTGAGGGGAGGGCAGAAATAAGGCCTTGGAGGACACAAGATATAAAAAAGACAGACACTGCTTCTCTTTATCTCTCCTCACTGACTCACGAATGTGTATTGGTGACGAAGATCTCTCTTGCAAGAGAATAAATACTTTATAAACTATTAAATTGGACTCAGAGTGTCTCTTACTCAGTGATGATGTTTGTTGGAAAGGAAAAGCCACAACAAAAGTGTCCTCTCTATCACCTCTCCATTAATAAGAATATTCGTTAATAATAATATCAAGAATGTTCAAACCTTTTTATTCTTAAAGGATGGTAGTACTTAAAATCTTATAATTTTGATCTTAATGTTCAGTTTCATTTGGGCCAATAATAGATCAGCCTTTATCTAGAAACTAACCTTATATACACTATCAACTTTAGAATATACTCTTTAAATATTTTTCTATTTTACAAAGCTAGCTTTAAATCAGATTATGACTTGCAGAATAGCTCAACGCCATGATAAAAGTAATTTTTGGTGGGCAAATGTTTATCCCTAGTATGAATATGTAGATCCATAGGAATGCACTGTTGCTGTGGAGAATTTTGTGCTCAATATTTGCATAGTGGTATTAGAGGAATATTCTATCAATTCATTATGATTTGGGATATAGTGATCTTAGAAGAAAAAATTATTTTAAAGTGCGCTTTAATTAACTTTTGCCTATCAATAAAAGGTAAAAGTTGAACTTACAGGTTCTATAAAAATCCCTAGGTATTTGGCAGTTCTTTAAAAAAAAACGTTCTTGTGGTCAAAAGGGTTCATATTAGCCTGGGAAAACCCAGACAACTTCCGGCAAATTTAGATTTGCTCTGAAAGTTAGTCTGGCAAAGAGCTCATTCAAGCTCGTTTCCAATCCGCCGAAATCGAGGCACCAAGCACCAATCAGAAACGTTGGGGCGGGCTTTACACGATGACGACAGCGCTGGGATTTTGAAGCAGATTTTGTAGCCTACATTACAGAGATGGATGCCGCCGTCAAACATCACTCGTTCGAATCGGCTATCGCGTCTGTTTTAAGCGATTTGAACGTTTCCTTTTTGTTAAAAACCGAGCAAAGAACAACACTCGGAGATGTTTCTGAGTGCTGTTTGTGAGTGATTTCTGTGTCAGTTTCATCCTTATGTTTGATATAGGCTATTTTACACCTCTGCAGTATTTACAGGAACACACACTTCAGGTCCACTGCAGCCAATTTCCCATAGGGATTCCCAAGAGGGAGCCACAGGATAAGAAACCCTCTCATTTATTTTCAGTTTCCATACATTAAAATGTCAAATAAATGATTAATCTGAGAGTGCTCCACAATTTATGTTTGTTTATAACATCTGGATACTCAATATTAATCTGGTGAATGCATGTTTTACACAGTTTATTGTACAGGTAAGTTCATCGCCATTCTAAACTAATGCTCTGATACATTATGCACCGTTATGAATGCCCATGCGACCGTGCGCATTTTACTTTCGCACTATAATTAGCGCCAATTAGGGGGCTGCAATTGCTTTAATCGTGGATTCATTATTATTCTTAATGAAAAACACAAAAACTATAAAAACGAACTAATCCTTTGCAGGTTCCCAACTAGCATTGGGTTTATATCCAAAATATTGGCAAATAAACACTTTTACATTTCGCTTTGAAACCAAATCTTCCGCCATGGTCTTGTCAGTCAGCTCCTCACTCTCGTCGTAAATGAAATCCGACTCCTGCTGCTGATCTGTGCTGGCACTCAGGTTCGACTCAAGCTGAATTGAGCAAACGCATTCAGTTTTTAATTGTAGTGTCTGTTCTCTAACTGAACTAAATGATTTGAATTACTATAAAAAAAATCAAAACAACGGTGGTTGGGGTTGGCGGGTCGGTTGGGGGTGGCGGTGTGCTGCAGTGGGCAATTGATGTAACCGGTGTTGTGGCTAAACACCGGTAACACCGACTATTGCAGCAAGCCTAGTGTCCACCTTGGAGATAATCACCATATTTATAATGAAACCATCATATTTAAAAATGGGATATTAATCATATAATAAAATATATTTATTATTGCTACTGTAAAGCTTTATTAAATTATTATGGGATCTCATTCAATGCGTTCTTGAAGAGACTACTTTTTAAAATAGTTTTGTTTCTGTATTTTTAAAATGAACATATTTTAATGACACTATTTATTGAACAATTTATATTTATACAACTTTTCACAGTACTGTAGCTTTGCAGGTAAGTTTCTTCAAGTGTCTTGGAGACGTTGCCGCAGTTTTGGATTTAGTCTGTCTCAGTTTTTTCTGTTTCTTAATATAATCCCAGATGGGCTCAATAATGGTGAGATCAGGGCCCATGTTTATCAAGCCTCTGAAAATGAATCACAATAACACTGCCAAGAATTGACTTAAGAGTAAAACAATTCTTGGCTCAAAGCTGCACTTAAAAGTTAGTTATCAAGCATCTCAGTCGTAATTAAGTGAAGTGTTGGACTAAATCTTAAAGGGACAATGTGTGCTTTTTTAGGTATTTTATTATCTAAAATCAATATTTTTAATAAATATGTCCTCAATGCTAATATACCTCTGCTAATTATCTGACTTATCCTCGTAAACGAAGAATTTATTATCTTTATATACATGGGACGGGTAGGTCCACGGAGGCTTCCATGTAGTTCCGCCATCTTGAAAAACTATAATAGCAGAGAGGCACAAAAAGTACTGGGTCAAACTTCGGGGTCTTTTTAACCCGCAAATGACTTGCTCAAATAAAAAATAAAAAATTATCTTTGTCCAAATGGTATGAAACTTTCTACGGCTGTCAACACTTTCTAAATCTACAAAAAATAAATAATAATAATTGGAATGATATCTATTTTTATGTTAGCGTGAAAAAAATAGTGACACTCGTTGTCTTCGGGGTCCCTGGAGACCCCGCAAAGTAAATATACAAAATTCATCATCAAAATCAGAAACAACGCAGAACACATAGACAGAAATAAAGTGGCACACTTCCAACAATGCAAAAAACATCCACAATGCAAAATTATCATGCTCACCACACGCGCGTGCACGGTGCGCGCGCGCGCACACACACACACACACACACACACACACACACACACACACACACACACACACACACAGACACAGACACAGACACAGACACACATATAGAGGAATACATTTTTGAGACTATAAAAACTGTTCTCTTATCATTTGTAAAATAAAATCATCCAAAATGCAGAACCACCACAAAAGTAAATTGGTGACACTGACACATTGAAAATGTGCACACTCACACACACAAACACACACACAGGAATACATTTGTAAGGTTATAAAAAACTAATTTGTTATTGCTATTCAGTTCATTGCATTTTGATGTTCATGTATTTTTACTCAATATGTAATATAACTGTTGTAATATAATGTAACATAACTGTTAATTTCTGTTAGTTTTTGTTCTGTTACTGAAGGAGCCATTTATACATTCACCTTTTCTGGATAGGTTAACATTGCAATTACTTATTCTAGCCACTTGGTGGGAGTGTTGCACTGGGTGTGAGGTATATTTACAGGTGTGGCAATCAGTTAGGAAAAGGTGTGGATGGCGAGGAACACACAGTTCTTACCGTAGCCGTGAGCACTTTACCAACAGCATTACTTAGCACTGGGTGAAGTACCATTTTATGTAAATCATCCCTTTTTTACCTTTATAATAAATGGGAACACCACCCAAAGAGAGCTAATGTTTGGACTCAGGATTTTCTGCTACGCGTTGAGAACACCATGCCATCTATGCCGAGGCTTATAGAATAGCCTCAACAAAGTAAGAACCGATTCCTTTCTGTTTTGGATACGCTTCTGAACTGGACAGGAGTGTCCTGATCGTTTGGATATTGAAAGGATTGCCCATCTCATTGGATTGCTTACCTGTCGCAGAGCTTGGAAGTCATAATTGAAACATCTGTAAGTCCTCACACAGACCGCAATCATGGAAAGCTGGTGGGTACAGTTTCATATATTTCTGCTGATGGAATTGGAAAAAGGTGGACTCTCAAAATTTAAATGAAAGACTGTTTCAGAGTGTTGTTGCTTCGAAAAATCTTAAGTGCTGTGTTGTGCACTCATTGGTTGCCTCTGCATAAGTAAAGATGATATTGCTGTTTTCATTGAGCGCTTTGAACTTGACGCGCTTAGTGCATAAAGATGAGTGCAGAGGAAGAAACATTGCTTCTGTGGCTACAGACGAAAATTATACTTCTGATAAGTCTAGTGTTGCTGTTGATGACTCGGGGAAACGCATAAGAAAATTAACAGCTAAGGGTTTTACAATGTTGTACGAAAATCCCAATTTATGCAAGCTAATAAAATTAAGCAGAGGATTAATGAGGTTCTTTCTGGGAACAGAACATCTCAAACTGTGTTTGATGTGAAGAAATGTCTAAACAAATATACCACGTTGTACAATGAGGCTTTAGAAACTAAAGTCAAGTCAAATATAGTAAAACTACTTTGCTGGAAATGCCTATGCCAGATTCTGAACACGACAAACAACAACGTTGGCTTGCACAGAAAACAGAGGAAATGAATACATTTGAGAATGATGTAAAGAAATGGTTGGCCGATGCTGCTGCAAAAAATGATGACGAGAATCTTGATGTGCTGTCTAAAATAAATTCTGACATAAGGCCTGAAGATAAGTATATCCAATGTTTCAAGTAAAGGGTCAAAAC